AGTACTATTGTTCACCATTTCTTTATGATCTTCTGTTTTCTGGAGATACACATGTTAATTCAGCTTTTGCTTCTCTGAATCATTTGAATTTTATGTTGAGTATAATTTGCTTTTGGAATCGTCTCATCCCAGAATTCACCTCTTGCTTGAACAGCTGTTTAACAACTGGGTTTAATGTAGTCCCACTGACTTCCACCTTTGTGTGTTTCTGGGCAGGCTGATGGTAGGTCTCCATCCCTTTCAAATCGTGGGTACCTGCGAACCATGGGTTTCTCCCCGTTTATCCTCATGATTCAGAGTTAAAGGCTGCATGGCTACAGTTTTTAAGTAAAAAGTTATAGGAAGTAAAATCCTTAAGGATATCTAGTTTGACTCCACTGTAGTCAACCAACTGAGGGATTTCCTACTGAAGAAATTGTAGTACAAAGTTGCAGAATTTGCTTGCCCTCATGCAGAAAGCAGGACAAAACAGTTTTAAGTATGTTTACATAATCTTAAATGCATGCAATACTTTTCTATAGAACAGAAATCACCCAATTACCAGGTGAGGCATGGTGGTGCATGCCTGTAATCGCAGCACTTGGGAAGCCAAGGCAGGAGGATTGCTGTGTGTTCAAGGCCAGCCTGGACTACAAAGTGAGTTCAAGGTAAGCCTGAACTGCAAAGTGAAACCCTGTCTCAGCTATAAAGAAAGATAAACTCGAGGCTTTTACAGGTAAATGGTCAAAACTAGAGACCATACACATAAGTGAAATAAAGCAGACCTCCATGTGTAAGTAACGTATTGTCTCACAGTGTAAGAACCTGAAAGAGTGAATAAAAATTAGGAGGTAGGACAGACGTTGTGAAAAGAAAGGAAAATGCTCAAAAGTAAAGAGCAACTGGGGTGAAGGAACAGAGAAAAGAAAGAAGGGGAAATTATGTATGTATATACAAGATAGCTAACAAAGTTGTACTACTGACTTCTATTGCTTTACTGAAAGGAACAGTTAATGATTACTTATTTGATCAATTCTGCATATCTCTGTTTTCCTGAGAAACCATTTTGAAGATATCAGTACATAATACAACAACCATTGTTAATTTCCTACCACTTTGTCTGTAACTCTGTATTGCTTGTATTGTTCTTATGCTATTTTGTAAATGGATGTCTGTTTGTTAATGTTTTCCTTTTATTTTTAAAATGTTTAAAAAAACCCGTCTGAAGAAGACAAAATAAAATAAAACCCAGTCGATATTTTTTATTTTCTAGGATCAAAATTTGAAAGAATGTCTTTTTATAAATGGCCAAGCTTTTAGTGAAGAGCACTCTCTATTTGCCCTATATCCAAAAGATATGTACTTACTATCTGCCATGTGCTTAGAATTATTTACACTCACGTGCTTAGGAGAGAAGATCTAATGAACTGTACTAAATGTTTGGAGGGATGTTTATTACATTCAGTGGGTGAGATCAGAAGCTGTTTCATGGAAGAGAGACCATTAAGAAAAGGCTGGAGGATGGGTGAGATTTCAGCATGTGGATTCTGGGCAAGAGGAGAAAAGAAAGCACGCTAAGGATGGAGAACAGAATGGGTATGGATAGGCGAAGGGCAAAGTCAGGGGTAGCATAGGGCCCATTATAAGTACCAGAGAACTCATTATGAGGATGCAAAAAGGAAATGGGTGGATATTGTTAATAACAGGAGGAAATTTTCAGGGCCCTTCAAATCACTAACTTGAAGATCTCATGGCTAGTGCTTTGGAATAAATGTGGAGAAATGTGAAACAATTTATAACAAAAATTACAGTAAGTAGCGTTTCATCCCTGCAAAAGGTAATTTGACTAAAAAACTGAGACCGGGGAGCTCATTTTCCTGACTTCAAATAAAATGATCTTCAAGACGCATATTGGGTTTGTGTTTGTTCCAGTCGCTGATCACCACTCGTTCTGGGGGTGACACAGGCTGATGTATCTTAAATCTTTACATAGGGCACCCTGGCTGAGATTAACTACCCTGCTTAACACAACTAACATTCCTAGGGCATGAAAATCTGGTCACAGAAACCTGCTTAGGAAATGCCACCAGGTGTATGCGAATACTGATAACAGATCAATCAGGTATTTTCAGAAACAGCAGTTTGCCAGGACTACCAATTGCACCGGCAACACTGAAAGAAGCCTCAAGAAAGATCAAAGCTGTCTAACGACAAACGGAACACACCAAAAATAAACCCTTTCAAAAATTCTAATACCGTAAGATACACATGTATTTTTAAAAAATGCGTATCTTACATGAAAAACTTATGTATTTCCCAGTCTCATCCTCTCAAAACCCCAGGGCTTGGACTGTGGTATTATAAATGGATAACCTGCCTCTTCTCAAAAAGATTCAATTTACAGACATTCCTATTTGTGCATTTATAATAGTCACTGGCTTTCAAGTATGCATCTATGCAGTAAAGCAAGGTTAGCTGCTTCTATTTTAAAAAATTACGGGGAGAAACCATTCCCATCTGCAGCCAAAGATTATCAGCAAAGAAAAGGTGACTTTGAGAGTCACACCACAGCTATCACCTCCAAGCAAGGTTATCTTTTCTATTGCTTTTCTAAGGGAGACAGAAACCGTGAATTTATGTGCTTTGTGGTACCAGAATATCAGAGAAGTGTTTCCACTTCCTTCAAGATAAAATAAGCCGCCCTAGAGAATGATGACTGAAACAAGCTGTATTAGACAGGTGTTATGCTGTGTGTCTGGATGTTCTGCCACAGCCTTGTGCAGTCATGGGGTGGGATTCTAGAGTTTTTGATTAACTCATGATCCAATGCTGGGATTTTGGGTGTGAGTGCTACACCTGCCCTGGGGTGGGCAGCCTGCATACAATATAAGGGAGGGAAGGAGGCTTGCTCTTTCCGCTCCTCCCTTTTGCTCCTGTTGCTTTTGTTGTTTCCCACTTCTATGATGAACTGTTGCCCTCTGCCACGTGCCACCCTGCCTTGGAGCCAGCCCAGTACGGACTGAAACCTCCACAAACCGTGAGCTAAACAAACCTTTCCTTCCTTCATTTTGGGCATCAGGTATTTTGTCTCAGCAATGAGAGAAATATAGCCAAGACAACAGGGTTCTCCAGAAAGACAGAACCAATAAATTGTGTATCCAGAGATTTAAGGAACTGGGTGTGACTGTGGGGGCTGCCGAGTCCAACACCACAGGGCAGGAGATGAAAGAGGACACTGCCGCTCGAGCCTGAGGCTGTCTGGGTGCAGAATTCTTTTTCACTCGTGGGGACTGCAGTCTTTTCTGGTAAGAGCTAAGTGACTGGATTAGGCCCTACCATAGCATGGAGGGTAATGTGCTTTACTCAGTCTACTGATGTATCAATCACCTCTAAAAGATAGTTTCTCGGTTACATTCAAATGATGTTTGACCAGGAACTGGTTATGGAGGCCCAGCCAAGCGATAGGAGGAGCCATTACACTAGCCAAGAGACAAAGAGAATGCGGTTGAACTTAAGACTTTCTGGTTTTGTTGTTTATACTGAAATGGCCCGTGTTTGAATGCGTTTGGTCTGTGGAAAGGGGGACAGCGAAGCCACCTGCCCACAGCTGGCTGCCGCCACCACCGTGTTCAGGTGGTTGATCAGGAGCAAACTTCTACCGCCGACTTCTTTGGAACACCTCAAGAAACCACCAAAGTGGTGCACTTTTGATTAAGAAATGCTTGTTGAGGAAGTGTTCAATTAATGAATAATTACACAAAACTCAAGCTGTCTAGAGACAGGCTGGTTTTTCCTCTTACTGGCGTGCTATCCACATGAACTTTTCATTTAAAACTTTCTGAGAAAGTCTCTTAGCCCCTTGGGCCTATGATGCAATACATAAACTACATTTTAAATTAATTTTCCATAAAGGAGGTTATACCTTAAATAATTTTATACATTAAATTAATCCCGTATTTTTTCAGAATGTTCTACTCAAGTACTATAAAAAGGAAAAGCATTTTGCTTTTGTAAACTCTTCTTGGACTATTTCATATGAATGGGCTTCATTACAAACATATTTAGTGTTAATTCTATGAATTAACAGGGAGATACTTCTAGATTTGCTGGAACTAAGAGAAAGGAGGAACTACCCAGACATCATTCTTTATTTTCCTTACCCTCTGAAAGTTGTAGCGCTGAAGGAAAAGGAAGAATTTCTTCTATTGCACTGAGAGATATACTGTGAAATTCACACCATCTCCACAATTGATTCCGGGATAGGTATTCACTACATTGTTAGAATATCCCTCTCTTGGAAGATGTATCATCAGCTGTTCAATGGACGAGTTTTAGCTGAATGATAGATGTGTGATAACCTTTGGTCCACATGAATGTCAAGAGTGCTTTTCAAAGCAAAATTTTAGGTAAACAACCTGAGTGGAACTTGGGATAAGGAAAAGGGTAATTTATAGTATTGACAGACAGTAAGTATTACAGGAATGCTAAATGCCAATTTTACCTCCCCCTCAACAAGAAACATCCTAATAGCCTTTCTGGATTCTAAACTCAGTAGGATTAGTGTAGACTTTCTACAAATTTACAATTGTTGTCCTTCTTATGAAGACACAAAAGTTTTAAAACAATACTGCCTAGAACCTTACATTTCAACAAAGAACTATCTTAGATCCAGCAGTGAGTCTTATATTTATCAAATGAAAAAAAAAAATAGAATGAAAAACAATGTCACAAAGCATCTCCTATGAAAATTTCAGTAAGATCTACTTTATCTAAAGTCATTCTATAATTTTATTCAGGTATTTTGTGGAATTCACATCTTTTTCTTACAGCAAACATAACACTTAAGGCCACAAGAAGCTGCAGTACTATTACTGTTTCATTAGCAGCAAGTTAATATTTTAAATCTGGGTATCTGGACAATAAATAGCCTGCTTTTTTGGATGTGAATGTTTAAAATGTAGTATCACTGCAGCTTCGAAATGTGATTGCTATTTTACAGAGCTTATACACACACACAAAAATATGATCTTTATCTATATTTTATACAAATACAACAGTAGTTTGTGAATACATTTTTAAGTACATGATATACATGATAAGCCACTTGATTTCCCAATATCACAGAATAGCAATTTTAAATGCAATAAAAATATACAAAATTCAGTCTGGAATGCAGGTTTTTTTTTTCTTTTCTATTATGACTCAAAACTTTACCATTAGAACATTTTTAGAGTACTAGTCCGAACACTTTCTCATTAGCTAAAAATACAATTTCAGCAGTCCAGCTGATGGTCAGGCACGATGCGATCCACTTCCTAATGGATCCCAGTTTTTGTTAAATTCAAAGGGCTGTTAGTAACGTACAGCTGTCCTTCACTCCACACCCCGTGTAATAAGCCCACCTTCCGTTCTGAGTGACAGTCACCTTGTGGGCAAAAGCTGGCTTTGTGCTGGTAACATCTGCACGTCCAAGACCTCCTTTTGCACGTGCACATGAACACACTGTGGTGGTGTAAAAGTCTGTTACTGACATGTTAAGTCACAGTATAAAAATATATTGTACACCTTTACACCGAACGTAGTGCTTTTCCTATGGGTAAAAAAACAACTAGCAAGACAGAGAAGTTTGTAGCACCATGAAGAGTTGTATCCCATGTTACATTAGCAGCATGACCCAAGGTAACATTGAAGGAGTGTTTCTGAGAAGATAGACATTCATTCTGGTTCACTTGTACCACTGAAGCTTATACAATAAAGTGTTTTATACATTAGCAATAGTTCTGCCATTTCTAGAGCCTGATAACTTATCAAAAGGCATGGTCTCCTGTCCTCAGAGGGTTGATAACGTTATGGAAAGGCCAAATAGTGATGCAAAGGTGCCATTAACTAGGTTATTTTGTTTTATATGACCCCAAAGGAGCTCTCTTGTGGGCTTTTAGCATGAAAACGCACAACACAATCAACGTTGATCTAAATAATCAAAACAGACTATTGTCTGTGTTGCAGACCTGGCTGAGACAGAGTGAGAAAAGTAAGACAAACTCACTCAGGCACTCCCTTGTGGAGAAAACAGTCCGCCATTGCTAATGCTGAATACTCAATGTCGTAAAGACCTCCTCCAATGTCACATGGATCTCAGTAGGCTAGAAGCAACTTGGGTGAACTGGTATTTCTTAACTTACGTACTGGGAAGACAGTGTGCTTTGAGACACGTAAACCTTGTAAAAAAATAAACCATTGTAAAACTGTATGAAAAGACACACACTGATTCTGTGCAATATAGCAAATTGATAAGAAAACACTGTAAAAATGTACCTGTTTAAAATACCATCTACCATTTCTGTACACAAAGCATTATATATCAAAGGCCTACCTATATATCATCTAATGGCACTTGAGACATTATAAGTCTTAAAATAAAAGGCATAACCTATAACAAAGTTTCTGTAAAGGTTTAGATTCATTTTGAAAGTGCTATATCTTGTAATATGTGTAGTAGAGAGGTTGACCAAGCTCTATTTAAAAAAAAATATATTGGCCTACAATATGTGTATTGCTCACTAGACGAACGACCCTGAACACATGTGCTCTACAACATTCATTCTTAGCTTAATAAAGCAATCAGCTCTGGCTCATGCTTCGGTCAGTATGTGGTTTTTAAAAACCGCTACTGTCCAATTTAACACAATATATCACTCTAGTCCACAGACGACTACGGAAAATGAAGCACAAGCAACGAACAGGCAAAAATACACAGCTGGAAAGAAACACTAACTGAAATTAAAAACCTGCACAAAGAGTGCTGTATGATCAGCCAGAACAACCGAAGTTTTAAAGAACTGAACCTGGCAACAGGGTTTCAGAGGGAAAGTTTGAACAGTGACCAATGATTATTTGGTACCTGTGTAAATCAGTGGATACTATTGCTTACAGTGCCAAGATCTCTCCACATTCATACCTCTGTGTTTGGTGATCTAGTTTGCACAAGCACAAAGGAAGTCAAACTGAATGAGGTTCAATATCTTGTCTGAGGTCCCAATTCTATACTAAAATACTTTGATTTAACGTTAATCCCTTTTTTTTTAAACCAAGCTAAGGCACTACCAGAAATTTCAAAGATGATGATTCTGGCCACTGAAGGATGAAAACAGACAAAAACAAATGAAATTTTTTTCTAGGAAAATAAAAGGCCAATTCTGTGTTACATCCTTGTGAGAACACCGTGCAATTCAACAAATCTGCCTCATCTTTAATAGAAACTCTATCAAGAGGGGTTTAGTGAGCACCGCAGTCAATTTACAACACAATTCCAATGTCAGCCGAGTTCCCTCTTAGTGTTATCTGAAGTCTGCGGGGCAGCGACAGGCACAACGGGGCACATGGGAGAGTAAGACCCCGCGGTCACAGCTGTAACACGGGTGCCCGGGACGCTGCGCCTCCGCGTGCTGGAGTTCCACGCAGGCTGACATACATGGCGTCGGGCCCCAGTCCCAAAACACGCGGTTTTGTAAATTGTGATACTCCCTTTCTTATTAGCAGTGAAGCACAGCCTACGAAGGCCAACGTCTGTTTAGGCAAACTTTAGACAGGAGAAAGCAGCGCTTCCACACCTGCTGTCTGCGATTACTATTTAAAGTAGGTTCTCCTCTCACCAAGTACTCTCTGACCGAGTTTCTTTTGTCCTTTTTAACGGTGATTAAAGCAATATTGAACACTAGTCATTCAATTAGATTTAGGTAAGCAATCTGTTTCATAGAAACTAAAGGAAGCGGTAATGAAGCAGAGCAAAAAGCCTACTTTCAGAGCAAATATTCTCCTAACCAAAAGCTTAGGAGCAGCTTGAAAAGTTTAAAGATGCATCTCCTTATTAACATATATAATTTTAATGCCTTTGGAACACACTTTAATAAAATGTAATTTTTCATAATAAAATTTAAATACATAGGTATAAAAACTACTGCTCCTAGAATTAAAAAAAATAGGAGCACGATAAAATATCAGGAGCCAAAGCTCCTTTAGAGAGCAACTTTGATTCTATGAAGTGCGATATGTGTGTATATATATAATATATATAGTGAAACCCCCATTTACATTATTACAATTTACATTTCTCCACAAATTATACTACTCCCAAATATTTTAAATAATGTATTATACTCAGTAATCTGCACTCATTTTTAGAAATTCTTGGTAAACATTGCAATCTGCAGTGAAGTTGTTCCCATACAGGGCTAATGAGTGCTTAGAATTTTTTAAAGAGATATATACTCTTCTATAACCCTTTCCCCCTCACCCCCGCCCCAAGGGACGAGGTCCCAAAATAAGGTGTTAACACGTGCTTACTAGATATGTTTCTTAGATTGATGTCCCCAATGACCCTTTGAAAAATACAATTGGACCTTTGAGAAGACTATGGTGGTTTCCTAAAGTGAAGAAAGCCCGTAACTATTTTAGTCAGTGAAACAATATTCTCGATTGTTATCTTCACATTAACAAAGATGATAGTGCTTGCTTTACTTTTCTACCCTCTACAAATTCAACTTATTTGCAACATTTTTCCCATTTTCCAGAGATGTGTAAAAGTGGGGTTTTACTGTATATATTTTTACTTAAAACTTTGTGGTAATTCCTCAAATTGTTTTAACTGCAACTTCTTCATCTGAAAATAGCAGGGGAAAGACGGATTCACATTTACTAAGAAAAATACCATGGGGCAAGAATGTTGTTTTTTGTTTTCTGCTTTTGGCTCTTAAAGAAAGACGTATCATATTCAGCAAGAAGTGATGTAAGTCTAGCTTTCAATGGAATTTTTAAATTTCCTGGATGTTTGAATCTGTTTAAGGCATTCTAATTCTTTCCTATAATGTTCAGTCAGTATTTCCATCAATTCTTAAGCCTAAAAAGAAAGAGAAGTGATGTAAGTGATATGCTCTTACTTTGCTCCTGAAGAGTCTAGTTTTCAACCTTGGCATCCGCAGACTTGATCCCTACACAAGTTCCAAGGTTTAACCGTGTACTTTACATCTGACTTCCTGGTCTGTTTACCAGACCTTAGAGGCTGAGACAGTCCACTCTGAGATAATACACTACTGTCTATAGTTCTGTAGTAACTCTAGATTCTGGACTGTGAACCAATAACCCAAAAAAATATTGCTGGTGCACTTGAGCCATCATCTGGCTGTGAAAGGCAGGAAAGATTAAGGAGAACTACCTATATACATCTTCCCTGAAGACCCCAGATGCCATACACTATTAATATTATTAAATGGAAAGCTAGCAAGTCAAGAAGGTTGAACTGTGGCAAAAGAGGCCATGTACTAATAATTAAGGGCCAACTATTATGCTACACAGAGTACACGTCACAGCATTAGGAATCTCTTTTTGCTACAAACACTGATACTTTGTGTTTTGGTTTATGTTTTCCTTACACATTCTGTATTTTAGCAAATATTGTCCAAGACAATAGCAAGTCTTCAAAATATACTGATCTGAAATTATGGTATATCTAAGAAATATTTGCTATCTTTTCAAACTGGATTAATTCTTTTAAAATATTTATGAATTCATTTATGGCTAGTAAAAATTTTAAAACTTCTGAGTTATTCACATGGATTTTATAAAATTTACACTGTATTGCAAAAAAAATTTTAAGGAGCCAAATGTTAAAAGGTAGAGCCACTGTTACTGGACAAAAATGAAAATTTTAAGATCTAAAAATAATTTGAATGTGGGGCTTGCGAAATTTTATTAATAATAATGGCTTTCCTATATGAAATAAAACTTTCAGACTATGATAATTGGCAGTGAATCAGGACAAAACACCCAGGTAAACATAACATGAATGGTTCCAAAGCTCATTTAAAAAGCTAGTTTCTATTTTATACTGGCTTAATGAAAACTGGTATTATACAAAAGCAGAAACTTTTATACTGTCTTAAAGTAGGCACTAAAATAAAAATGGTCATCTAAGGCAGGGCTGCACACACACTTCTGTAATACACCCACGTCCCAGGACCTACTGAAAAGCCTGGTGGAAACGTGGCAAGGTGGTGCTTGTGCTTAAACTACTGCTGAACGCTGCTGACAGTGAGTGCAGAGACCCGAGACCTAGAGTGTTTCCAGGATCCTGAAGATCCTGTGTTTGCGGGGGGAGCTGAGAAACAGAAGCATGTGCTTCATCTTGGGAATAGCTCATTCCAAGGCTGCCCACTGACAGAGGGTTATAGGCAGGACCGTTTAATGGTATGAAATTAAACAACTGAGAAAAATCCAATGCTGGTGTGTTGAGGGGGTCACTGATGGAGATGGAACTTTTTGACAGGGAGAGGTCCCCCGCACCATCATCTAGGGACCCGCTCTGAGGGTCCAGCCCTAGCTTGGATGACGATGCCTGCGAATCCTGCGATGAAGAGGGAATGCCACCTTGTAACTCCATCAGGTAGCTCTCAATTTCCCCCTTTAATGGCTGTTCTTTTTCAGGAATAGAAATTGCGTATGAGGTAGAACTGAACGGATATTTGAAGGAAAGGTGGTGTGAGGGATGAACGGCATCCATATCTAGCGGGCACGTCATTCCCAAAGGTAAAGTTGTGATCATTTGGTGAGCAGACCCCGAGCTCTGCATGGACTGAAACGGAGTGTTATAGAGGTTTAACTGCAAAGTGTTTGTGAATGGCTTTGATAACAGTTCACTGGAAGGTAAGGACATCACCGGAAGGAGCTCATCTTTTATAGGCACGGACACATTGCAGGTAAATGGGTCCAGGAAATCCACTGGTTCAGTTTTAACCTTCAGAAGCTCTTGGCTGTGACTCTTCTTCATATGTCGAGTCAGGTGATCCTTTCGCCCAAACCTCTGTGCACAGTACTGACACAGGAAGTCCTTTCTTCCAGTGTGCACCACCATGTGTCTCCGGACATCCTTTCGGGTGTAGAACCTGCGGTCGCAGTGCTCGCACTGGTGCTTCTTCTCTTTCACGCCCCCAGATGACTTGCCCGCGTGAGATTTAAGGTGCTCCAGAAGCACGCCGGTGCTTTCGAAAGTCTGCAGACACACCTTGCAGGTGAGGTCCCCACTGGTGGCCGCGTGCAACGCCAAGTGTCGCTTAAACCCAAGCTTAGTGTTGTAGCTCTTGCCACACTCTTCACACTTAAACGTCTCTTTGTTAGGGTCGTGTGTGTGCAGGTGATTCTTCAGATGGTCTTTCCGGTGAAACATTTTCTCACAATAATTACACTTGTGGGTTTTCTCAGGAGAGTGAGTAGCCATGTGCCTTTAAACACAGATACAGTCTGTGAGTGACTACACGAGGAAACCGGTCCACACACACTTTTAAAAGGGGCAGCTAACTAATATGCTAACACACAGCTCCCTTACTAAGGGAGACCGTGTAACTTAACGTACCAAGAGGATAGTCAGCATCCCTAAACACTAAGAACTTGAGCCGTTCTTGGCTATCATTACAAAAGCAAGTGGGAAAGACTGAATATACTCACGTAAATACCCTTTTCTTGTTGTAATTTCTTTATACAAATGGAAATTGTACTGTCATTAAGCATTTTATTTAAAAAAAGTCCAAAGACACCAACACATAAAAGTATGTGATTAGAATACTAAAAACTAGCCAAGCTCTAATCTACTTAACATTTCCTCTCTGCAAATCAGCTGAAAAATGGGTATACAAATACATACGTTTACAATGGCTTCAAATGGCCAACATAAGAGAAAATATAATCTGAAAGACAAATAGAGTTGAATACCTTTGTAATTTGTACTTAGAGACAAAGGCCTTGGTGCAGTCTTGCTGTGTGCACGTGTAGGGCCTCTCTCCTGTGTGAGAGTAGGAGTGAACCTTTAATTTCTCAACACTGTTAAAGGCCTTGTCACACAGTTGGCAAGGAAAGTTTTTTCTTGGTTTGGTTTCACCACGCTTACGTTTCCCTGAAGGGACTTTCTGGGTATCTCTTACTTCTGACAAATCACCAGGAATGACAGTGGCCATCGCAGCCTAAACCAGGCCTTCTTGTTGGACACTTGGGAACTGCCCAACTCCACTAAATGATATAGCTTTAGGTGGCTTCTCAAGTTTCATGTGGTCGTAAAAGAAAGCAAAAAGGGACTGGAAAAAAAAAATAAGAAACAACTAGTTTGTAACTAAACTTAATTTAAAAAATTTTTTAATTTGCTATGTGATGCTTTTGAATTAAAAAAGAAACTATAAAATGGATTCAGCTGGTCTAATGTAATATCTGTAGGTTTCTTTATTATTCGTCAAAATACATGTTATCGCATTGCTCAGAATGAACAGTTCATACGTACCCTGAAATTCCATCTGACAAAGGCACTTAGGCATAGCAGTAATGACTGCGGGAACTCTCAGGAAGCACCAAAACGTGACTGTAATAGTGGCATTATTAAGCTTCAGTTTTCACAAGGGATTAGAGAACATAAATCTAACTAAAAATGTGAAAATGTTTCAGGAAACTCATTCTAATTTGTACACGTCAGCTCTACTTACACTCTGTGACAGGCACGAACTGATAAACAATGAAAACTGTTCTGAGTACCTTATGAACCACTGAGTCCATACAAGAAGTACTTTAAAGCCCAGACACTAGTGGCCTGACAGAGTGGAACGTACCACCTGGAGTGACAATGTACATCAGCATCGCTATTCTCTGAGGGACCTGTGAGTCAGGAGTACACATGGTTCTCTTAACAAATATACACTCTTAAGCTGGGAAGACCTTCTGATGTTATATGAGGTGAAGAGCTCGGTTCCTTGTCATTTTGGGGAAATAATATGCTTACTTTCCTCAACATTTTTTATGTCACAGAGAACCATGATGTTCCCTGGGCACGCTGAGGTTAGCAGGTAAGCTGGAGTCATTAGGCCCCCCGCGAAGCTGAGGGTCTAGTCTTTGACACCCCTGGAACCCGAGTGCAGCACATCTGTTGTGAGTTCTGGTACCGCACAATACCTGTGCAAGAACGCACCGCCACACGGTGTTCAGGAGGTGAAAGATGTGTCAGTTTCAGTGCGTTTATTGGTGCTGTGAGGAAGAATGAAATGTATCTCCTGTACAGCAAAGAGTATGTCCTTTTACATGTAAACGAAAAATTAACACTGAATTGAAACCTACATAGACGAGAGACGGTAAATATTCTCAACTCTTTCTCAGACTAAGGCAACAAATTTCTCTAAAATCCCAAGCTAATGCGTCAATGATTCCTTACAATTCCCTGAAGGTGATTTAGAGAGGTGCTCTCCAGAGACTACCGAAACGGTAACAACAGCAACCTCTTTCCAAAAAGATGTGATCTTCAAATTGAAAAATGTGGTTAAGGGTCTCATCAGTTACTAACGGATTACATTTTCATCCTAATATGTATTAAAAAATGAAAACCAACTTCTTACTCACTTTTGTTCTGGCATTAAACTGACATTACCTTCACAAATTAGGCACACTCACTTTCACAGATTTGTTATACTCTTACAGAAGCTCTAAATACCTATATTTAAAGAAAATTAAGTGTATGTTATAATACATCTTCTTTATTTGAATGCAGAGGCTGTCGCTATGCAGACAAAACACAGCCGACCCACTAATTTGATTAAAGTGGTAAAAGCACATAGGTAAAGCTAGCCAGCTATCTCTTGATCAGGCAGGTGCAGGCAAGGCCTGCGTGTTGCTCAGATTGCCTGACCATCCTCTGGGCGGTTTAAAAGTGACATTTACACAATGCAAGTGACACTGACAATGCTAGCGCTGTATGTTTCCTCTGGTTTTGGGTTTTCTTGTTCTTTTCCTGTTGTAGTCTTGCTCAGAAGACAGCTTTTCTGCCTCCCTCATAAATTATAGCCATGCTGTGGATACTGACCTGCTATAAAGCATTCTGTATTGACAGGAGAAAAAACTCATTTTCAATTATTTGATTTCCTAGTGTGACGCTTTCACGCACCTATTTAGAAGATCGGTTTTCAACTGCAGAAGAGAAATGGGATGCAATATATCTAAATCCTTGCATATAACTAAAATTGAAAATATCTCAAAGATTGGTCATAATTGCCTTTGTGTTACAAGATCCAACTGTAATGTGGAGAATCCTCACTGAAAAAAATGACTTCTATGTTACTGGAAAAAATGTAGTAAGAGTGCATCATAAAATAATTCACAAACGTTTGATTATATTAAAATTGATCATAATATGGAGGAACGGATGAGTTATTCTCTTTGGATGTACATACTGAGCAATGAGGAACTGCGCTGATTTCAAATATTACACTTTCCTAAGACCAGCTGAAATTTTCTCACGGCTAATACCTTTTATCTTAATAAATTACAGAACTCAAATTAGTTATCACAGGTGCATTTAAATCTACTGGATAAATATAATGTTGTAAACTCAACATTTAATAAAAGACCACATTCATAATATGTATATCAACTAAAAATGTTAAAGGTGCATGCACAGAATGACAGTGGTTTTTGTTTGATGCTTACCTGATCGTAGATGGAAAAAGCCTCAGAGTTTGATCTTAGCCAGTCCCATTAACTCTTCGTGGAAGGGAGTGGAATCCAACCTTTCCCATTGTGGCCAATCTATGGGAAAAGAAAGAACGGACTATACTCTAAACAGAACTAGCGCGTAAACGACAGGAAATGAAGGACGAAGCAATTGCAGTTTCATGGCACATGCTTACATTCCACACTCGGCCAACAAGTCATGCATTAATTTTCACCAGTTGCATATTTTATTAGTTCCAAGCACATTTACATGACCAAATAAATGCAGAAATAAAAAGTAAAATAGTATTACCTAGATAAATGGCAATTTGCGATGCTGAATGACTCCCCACTTGTTTCCCAAATTCAGTTTAATTTTTTAAAAACCTACCTTGCCTACCATGAGAAATGGGTATTAGGGTTACTGCCTGTAAACTAAACAAAATTTCATTAAGCTCGATACTGTGGAAGAGATGAACGCCGTTCCCACTTGGAGCGCACATCTGGAGCTGCACCTGTCTCACGCTGGAAGCACTCCCACCGCACACACTTGTGCAACTGGGCTTCTTGGAGCCATATTTCTGTTACCTGCTAATTTATTTTAACGATACTGCAAGGATTTGTGAAGTGTAGCAACAATTGTGTGCTGTTCAGATTTCAAAAACATGCAAGGGAAATTAAATACAGGTTTGATACTGCAACAGGAGGTATAAGAAACAAAGCATAATTTGGTTTACTAGACTACTGTTGAAAAAAATCTTAAAATAGCTTAAAACACCCAATAGAAGCATGATTTTTAGTAGACTGAGAGCACACATAGAAAAAAATGTGTTAATTTGTGATCGCACTAGTAAACATTAAAACAAAGTTAAAGGACAGAAAGACCTAAAATAATCTGTTATAGAGAATACGAAGCAGATTAGTAAACTCATTTGGAAGATGAACGTTTAGAAATCTTTACAAGAACCTGAGATGGTAATATAAATCAAATAGATAAAATACAGTAACAAAAGGATGTGTCAATGACAGACTAAGTGAAAATAACTTCAAAGCTCAAACACCAATCTAATAATTTCCCTTGAAATAAAATTTTCATTCTTTCAGAATTTAATGACATAAATAAAATATCTGAGGACATTCAAGCATCATTAGAAAATTACTAAGGGAGATACGTGAAAAGTGTTATTATCACAGTGTAATAGCCAAGAAAAATAAAAAGACCAATAAATGATTTTAAAAAGTTAAAAGCAAAAGCTCCATTCCTTTGTAAAGCATAGGACATGCATAAATGGAAGAACTGAATTCTGCACATCAAAATTGCAAAAACAGTAAACATTAACTTTGTAAATACTTACTTGCCCAGAGCACATAGTTTTTGTTGGGTAAGAATGTGAAAGACCACTCTGTGTATTATGCTGTCTTAGTAATATAAGTACTTTACAAGTATAGCATTTTCAGCATTAGTACAGTACCTGCTTGCAGTTCAGTGAATGTGGAATGTGGGTGTATTTACCATCATTGCCATTTTAGATCAAAGGCCATAAAAGCTCAAAAACTTAACAGCATTTGTGGTGTCAAAAGGGGCTTATGCCCATACCCTATTTTGCCGTCACTCTGCTGCATTTTGTGACAAGGGCAGCTTACCCAACCCATCTGCAAATGGATAAATCCTGTCACTGCACTTCAAAGATCAGAAGAGGGGACAGTATCAGTTTTGTCTACTAGAGCTTCTAGCTATGATCTCTACAAGGAAATAAATTTTAAGACTTAAAAAGTTTAAGAGATGTTTTATAAAGTAAACTTTAACTTATTTTTTCTTCTTTTCTCAACCAATATAAATTTTATTGATTTTCAAATACAATCATAATTTTTTATTTATAACTACTATTCAATATTTTTCAATAAAATACTTCAAATATTTTAATATAGTTTAAACTTATGCATCTTGTTTGCAGATATTCCAATACACTCTACATATTATCCCTGTTGTATACTGTATAATCAGAAATAAAATAATAAAGCCAGAATTTTAAGTTAGTTATCTTAAATAACTCCCAAATTATGGTTAATTTCCCTAAATTCATTCAATTTTGAATTCTTTCGAGTTGCCAAATAACCAAAGAACTGTTATTTCTCAAAACAAAGGAAATAAGGAGTTAATTAGAATGAACTATTATCTACTTTCTACCTACCTACCTATCTTGTATTTATGTAATCCTAATTAAAATTTCAACTAAAATTAAGTGTATTCTCTTTTTGGGACAAAGAAAAACCTATTAGAAGCACTGGGATTGCAGATGGAAGTCTGCTACAAAACTTACACTTGTACTTAAAAAAAAAAAGTTAAAGAAGCTTTTCAAGTGATGGAAATTCTTCTTTGCCTTGGTCTGAAGAATTGTGAAGAAAGTAGAAAACACATACACCCATCTAAAATGACCCTAGATGAAACGCATTGCAGAACACCCTTCGTTTCTGCTGGAGCCATAGCAGGCACCTGCCCCCGGCACAGTGACGCTGGCTACACAGAGATGGCCGTCAGAGGAGACCGGGCATGGTCACGCACATATACACATATACACAGGTTTATCTCCCTGTGTGTTCACATTATTCTATAATAGTGACTCACACAGAAAAATAACCACAAGTGAGTAGCACATCAGAAATAAGACCAGTTTCTATGAGATGCCTTCCAAAGAACAGACCTGTAGATAAACTTTCTATATTTTAAATTGTGCTTTTTTTTGGAGAAAGTGTCTTGTTATATATTCCAAGCTGGCCTCCAACTTGTTGCAATTCTCCTGCCTCGGGCCTTCAGAATGCTGGTACTACAGGCATTCCCCACCTAGCCAAGCTTACAGTGTACATTTTGACAGTTACTTTGTTAACAGTTGTAAACTTCCACAACACTTACCTGCATCAAAAGTTGTTTCATATTTAAAAGTCAGAGACTTTGCTAAGGGCATATATAATCAATCACCAAAACTTTTTCTCCCTTATGCTAATCATAAAATATTATTAGTAAACAATTCAAAACTGTCAACATTTGCTTAAAACATGTTTTCCACACAGAGTAAATAAGGTGAATTACAAAAGGGAACTTACCAGTTAATACTGTTTTAATTTATGTGTATAAAACACTAATAAGAGTTTTGAATAGTATCACGGAATCAACAAGAAAATAAATGAAGAGAGTCAATTTTAAAGGACAACAGCATATGCAGAACATTTTTAAAGGACAGCTTCAATGATTATGTGGTAATTTGGAAATGCTCACAGCAGTCAATTACCATAGGTCTGTAAAATTACTTATTAGTAAAGAACAAAAAAACTATCTCACAGTGATAAAAATCTAAGAGAGAATGAACCGACTCCAGGCAGCAAAGGGCAGGACCATGTCAGTTTTGTTCCCCACAAAAGGCAGTGAAGTAACTGCTGAGTGAACAAAATAAAAAATAAAATAGGGCAAAGGTTTTCCATTGAGACAGTGACCCGGCCTATTCATTATTACTTGCAGGAGTAGACACAGCATATACGTATTCAAGTCCAAGATAAAATTAGTAGGATATAATTTGGCTCAACAAATTGAGTAAGTTAACAGAAAGGTATTTTACTGAAAATTAGCCATTTGAAGACTTAGATGAAAATAATAGCAATTACAAGAATAAGAAGCTCCTTAAAATATTTTGCTTCAGAAAATAAGTATTCTCTGGATGATCTGAGCATCAGCTAGCGTGAGTAAGTAACACCAATCAAACCTCTACTCTGATGAAAACTTCCGAAGTGAAATCATGTGCTCAGTGCAGAGCGACAGAGAAGCTAAGACACAGGACAAGGCTGCGGACCCCACAGAGAACACAATGGAGCCCCCAGAAGCAGGAAGCGCAGGCGAGACACACGCACTCATCTGAGTCACGGTCGGTCCCCAAACAACCCATTCACAAGCAGAGTATGAAAAACTACGGTACCTATTTTCCTCTAAGTGGCAAAAAGATGCCTTTTTGAATTGCTATATTTGATATTTTTGACTGATTTTGAGTAATTCATTCAAATGTAGATCTGGGACAATCTTTTTTAAAATTCCTCAAAAAGCCATACTGATATTTAGAAATGTTTTTAATATAAAATAATACAAAGTAATAGAGAAGTGAAGAAAAACTGCCAATCTATGTGCTTTTAAGAACTAACAGGAAAATGTCAACAAATTTCAAAACTGACATTCCGTGTTCGGAGGAACTCCGAGTCACTTCTTCCGTCTTTCCACAGATAGGGCGCTCCTCCTCAGGCTGTGTTCTCTGGATACCCAGACAAAACGAACACACAGTCTGACGGCAATGCAGTAGTAAAACAAACGTTAGCTTCCAATTCAGAAACACTGTCCTTGGTTGTTCACTTTAAGGACAAAAATGCCACACCGAGTTAAAAAGGTTTTCTTTTTAAAAAGCTCTCTCAGTAACTCAGAACGGCATTTTCGAGTTGGTAACCTTTTACCAACTCTAAGTTATGTGGTGAGGTAGGGGAGAGGGTTCCCCTGGGGCTGTAAGTTCTTATCAAAATCAGAGAACTAAAGAATACAGATGGGGTACAGTTAGGTGTTTTCATGTTCTTCACACAGGGAAATTAGCACCTGCGGAGAGCAAACGAGAGGAATTGTGCGAAAGGCAGGGAAGGATGCGGAGCGAGGCATGTCAGAGCAAACACCTGAAATTATAACACAAGGTATTTAATCAATACTCCATTTTTATAGGATTTCCTGGGCTTTTAAAAAGCAATTTGTATAAAACATTTCCAAAATATTCAGTATGTAGCTAGCAATATGAAACAGTCCACAGGTCATGTATTCCAAACTGTGATGAGCTTTCTTTCTCAGCACCAACAACTCCTTAAGTTTGTACGATGCCTACTATAAAGATATTCACACCGAAGGACCCTGCACACTCACTCATGTATGTGTATTTGCCTAATGCTATTAAAATTACAAATACAGAATAATCCAGGTTTCACCTGTGAATTCTCAATCACCCGTACTGAATCTGTCTATAATTTCAAATGAAATGGTAGAAATCAGATGCGAGGTAAGTTGTAAGGAACCAAGCTTT